AGAAAAAAATATTTAAGAGCTTTTGAAATTAATCTTGTATAGATTTATTTTAAAAACACTTAAATATTTCTAACATTATTTACATATATAATTTATTTTTCATACAACGTTAAGTTTTCTTTGCAAAAATAATATAACAATAGTTGGAAATTAAATATAAAATAATAGTTGGGAGAGTTATTATAATCAGATATGCCAAGACAGTCATAAATCCATAAACAATATTGCATTATGATAAAAAATTATTAATTAAATCCTCATGTGTTCAAGTTATAAACAAATGGTAAATAAAAATTAGGGAAAAAACATAATATGAAACATTTAATTTATATTTTATTTAAATGTATTTAAATTATATTTTAATTGATAAAAAAAAAAAACAGACATAACGTTAAACATACATAAAACTACATAAATTATATTGAGAAATGCTCTTCTTCAAACAAAAAGGGCCCAACAAAACAAAACAAAACAAAACAAACAAACAAAAAGAAAAAAAGGCAAATAGCATAGATGGCAAAACATTACAGATTGGTTTGTCATTTTTCATTTTCAGCTGATTCTTGATGATGCTACCAAGACTATCACGTCACTTAATAAAACTTTATCTGTTAGCCAGTTAGAAGACTCACTAGCTGACATGTTGATGTCTGACAAGGAAAATTTCCAAACAAATTTCACATAAAAAAGTTTGCAATTAAGCCATAGAATGCATGCACATGAAAAAAAAAAGAAGAAAAAAAAAAACAAGTCTAAAGTTCCTGCAACATTTTTAAATATATTTTGTGGGTTTAAGTGACCAGATTAGTAAGGAATGTTTCCTAACCCCCATGAAGTCAACTGGAACCAAGTACTTGAGCATTGCTCGTGACCTCTATAGTGTCTAGTCTAGCAGTGAAGTATGCTTTCTGAGAACTGCTACTGTACATAGAGGTGTTGCATAACTTCTGCATTCCGTAGGGGGTTGGGCTCTTCTGACATGTCTCCACGTATCTTTCGTTTGTGTCTCCTACATGAACAGATGTTTAGATCCACACCTACTGTAAACAGATTTAGCTTTGCTGACCATAAAAAAGACTATCATTTTTCTGGAATGGCGAACATGGGCATAAAATACGTTTGGTGTGCTTGAGGCACTTCATAATGCCATGTGCACGTCTGTGTTATGATCTTTAGAAACCGTATGCAGCAGCAAATTTGGACAGCAGGAAAATCCCTTAAGCTGGCTCAAACCTAAAGAATTGGTTTACAAAGAACGGGGTTGTCACTGCATTGCTTAAATTTTTATTTTCCTGTATAAATACACTCTTTGACATTCCATTCAGTCGCACTCCGACAACTGTTCGAAGACAAAGCCTCGTGTGAATGGCCACTAAAACTATTAATAGTGATGGGAAATCTGAATCATTTAAGTGAGTCGGTTCTTTTGAACAGCTCGTTTCAAAAATTATTCAGTGGTTCGTTTACGTCATGTATCACAATATCTAAAGCTTTTTAATAAAGCCATGTATGCATTATTGTATTTTTTAAATTAAGTTATAGTAGCCTAAAAGAGTTTAATCGTGTGACTCAGTCTAGTTTGTCGCAGCCATGATTCAACTCATAAAATTTAAATTAGAACCCTAAACATAGGTTGATTTGAATTTACAGGCCTATTAAATAGTAAGATTTATTTACCACAATGTGGAAAGTTTTTTTAAAACCACATACAATCAAGTCGTAAATAATCGTCTGTTTTGTTAGGTAATAGGCTATTTCAGCTATTTGGCAATTAAAGTAACTTTTTGACCTATTAGTTTAATGCTCTATTTACTTTAAACGTTGTATAATTTCAATCATGACTTCTCGGCTCATAACGAATCGGACAAATCCAAAAGAGAAACCATCATTTCGAGGCACAAAAGATTCAATCCGACACACTCGGTTAATTCGAGAAACCCTAACGTTTCAGTTTTATTCTTGAACGATCCGGGTCTGTTTTGTGAAACGGTTCAAAAAATGATTATTATTATTTAAAAAAAAAGAGAGATCCGAATCAAAAGAACAATTAGTTCACAAACAGGACATCGATATCATCACAAGGATATGGACAAACCATTCGGGGATACATGAATCCGGGTGTGCACATTTTATCGACTGCTTGTCTTGTTCAATATCAAGCGAATCTGATAAATCAAAGTGAATATTAATGAAGTATCGCGTGCAAGAACTCTCCGATCAGCAGTTAAACGCAATGCACAAGAACACCATGGTGCTTTTCGCTTTAAACGCTAAACTCAAAACTCTTTATGCATATTCAGCAGAGTTTCGCGGCGCAGGTTTCGCTTTACTGTAACGAAACAGCTTCATATAACAGAAAGTAGCAGCAAAGAAGGGGTAAAAAAAAAAAAAAAAACTTAGGAAGTTTAAGCATACCTTGTTTCGGGCGAAGACTTGTTTGACAACTATAATAACAGCAGCACACATGAGCATACATCTCATCTAGTCTAAATCAGGCTAATGCAGTTTGGAGATGTGGGCTTGACTGCGCAGCTTTATTGGTCTAATGTTACAGAGGAAGAGGAAAGAAAAACAAATAAACAGGGAACACCACGAGATCTTATCAAACCAAATTTGTTTGAGTAGCGATACTACTCCCATTGTCTTCATTTTGATGTTAGATTATTGGAACGGTAAAACGTGGTAACAACAAAAACACGTCCCTTTCTCGTAGGCTATACCATGTATAAATTGAACAATTTACTCACAACTTTTAAAAGCATTTTATCGTTCAATCTTTATTTTTTTACCCATTGACCCACTCTAAAATTAAGCCTGTTTTCTTTGGAAATTTGCCCAAAATATATATCATAAAATGATAAAACAAAGACTTTGATAATCTCTGCTTCTACTACACCTAATGGAGCAAAAAACAAACTAAACAACCGCAACAAAATGAGCTAAATTATTTAAATAAATTCTGGCATATCCTGCTGTAACCTGTCACTGGTTTTAATAGATGAAATGACTGTGCATCTTTTGTGTGAGAACTGCTCTGTTGCTGCGGGTATGGTCTGACCACGCCAGAGGTTGATTTGCCTGCCTGCAGCTGCGGGAATCGCTCACTGCGAGGTCTCGAACATCTCGCGATATTTGCCACGACTCCGTGATTTATCCATCAGCTGATCATCAGAAAGCAAAGAGCTGGGAAGATACACAATTGAAAGAGGAATAAACATCTTTTTGCAGTTGTACTATCGACTTATTAAAGAAATATGGCAGAGACGGACTCAAAATCGGCGCAGGATCTCACAGCATTGGTAGGTTTGATAATAAACGACATATTTTTGTGGTTAGCTAAGCTAGGCTAATGCTAGGCCCTGTTTATCTGTTCTACTTGGATTATTATGATGCGACATGAGCTTCGTTTACTGTTAGATATAAATGATCTGAGAATACAGTTATTGTGATGTAAACAAAATGATTTGTTTGTCATGTCTTATTTATTTGGATATCTTTATGTATTTTTACACGTTAGATGAACTGAATGTTTCTCTCCAACAGGTGCAGACATTGCTGCAGCAGATGCAGGATAAATTTCAGACAATGTCAGACCAGATCATCGGGAGAAATATCCTTTTTTGTTTTTAGCACAGCTATAGACTTTCAACGAGGTAATAATAATCTCAGTGATAGCGCCTTATTTTTAATGGGACAGTAAGCTGTTTAGAGGAATTTAAATGAGGTTAGCTGTCATTTAGCAACTTCTTTCTCATCTAAGATCGTGTTTCATTTTTGCATACAGTCCATCTTAAGCAAATGGGGGCAAAATGCCTTGCTCAGTGTATTTTTACACGTTAGATGAACAATGTTTCTCTCCAACAGGTGCAGACATTGCTGCAGCAGATGCAGGATAAATTCCAGACAATGTCAGACCAGATCATCGGGAGAAATATCCTTTTTTGTTTTTAGCACAGCTATAGACTTTCAACGAGGTAATAATAATCTCAGTGATAGCGCCTTATTTTTAATGGGACAGTAAGCTGTTTAGAGGAATTTAAATGAGGTTAGCTGTCATTTAGCAACTTCTTTCTCATCTAAGATCGTGTTTCATTTTTGCATACAGTCCATCTTAAGCAAATGGGGGCAAAATGCCTTGCTCAGGTGTTTCTGCAGGTCTTAAATAGGCATTCAAGTTTTCCACAAATTAAGGCCTTAAAAGTATTTAAATTACAGCAGTAATGGCATTGAATGTTGCATGCACTGCTAAAAATGATCTCAGTATTTTGTCTTGTTTTCCCAATACAAATATCTAAAAATCTTTAAATGAAGATGCCTTTACCTGATGCAAAATAACAATATGAAGTCTATTCTGAGAAATTGAACAAAATCAAGTGTTTAAAACAAGAACAAATATCCATCAGATGGGTATGAAAACTGATTGTTTCAACCCGTTGTCAAATATTTATTCTTTAATCAAACTCAAATTTTAAACAGTTTCACAGAAAATAACACTTCTTGTGTCATTTTGCTTCAAGCAAATGTATCCTGATTTAAGAATCTTTATAGATTTGCACTGAAAAACCAGACAAAAATACTGAGGAAGGGTTGGGAGCAAAAGTATTTAACTTCTTTTGTTAAAAAAAAGTAATGGAGATTGTTTGAAAGTTGTGTTTTCAAATTTTGAAGTGTTGCAAATACAACCTCTTGTACTTATTACATTTTCTTTCCTTGGTCTTGAAAAAAGTTTTCAATTTACCTTTATAAAATCTGCAGAAACCCTGAGGGTACACAGGTGAGGAGGAGGACTTAACTCTTCCAAAGTCTAAACTGTCAGTCATCAGGGGGTTTAACCACTAAAATGCCACAACCATTGTCGAACAGGAAGAGCATCTCAAAAACTCAATACAAATCTCAGACCCACATACAAATCTCTTCAGAAAAGCTCCACATTTTCACAGAACCAAAATTTACCACAACCACAAGATCATCATTCTGTGATCAGGTTCACAAAACTATCTGTAAAAATCCAAACGCGTAAATGCTTTAATCCAGTGCTATGCAGGTTTACAAATACATACATTTTGTTTACAGTCAAGATCTACTAAGCAGACATTGCTTTAGCCATGCACTCAATGCCTTGATAGGAGTATTTAAATGGTGTGGTATTACCTGTACTTGCTCCTGTATCTTCCTTAATAAGATCCACTTGATGAAATGAGCACCCGCATCGATGATCTAGAGAAGAATATTGCAGACCTGATGACTCAGGCGGGAGTGGAAGAGATTGAAGGGGAGAACAAGGTCAAAGAGGGAGAGGCCTCCTAGTAGAGGTACTTTCCATTTCAATCGATTAAACTATTTTAGGTGAAACCAGTTGTGAATGTTTGATTCTAAATGGAAATTTGAAATGCATTTCATTCTGGTATGCTGTATTAAAATGCACTGCCCTGATTCAGTGTTATCTTTCACAGAATCCTGAGTAGCAAAAACTATCAACCCTCTTCAGGAGAAGCAAGATTTTCTCTATGGTGACTAACATATTTTGGTTTGATGTGATGCTTTTTTTAATATTTAGAATTTAAAGTCAGTCCTAGTACTGTGACTATGCTACCCTTTTTCCGTAATGGATTGCAAAGAACTTTTTAAACACGACATCCAACTGTAGAACCGAACCCTGCGTTACTGTAATAGCACTAGCCCAAGTGCCAACCTAACACCATTCCTGTTAAAGTGAATTTGTTGTTGAATTAAAGTTGTTTCTTAAAACCGGTGTCCTCATCTCTCTTTACTGGTATAGCTCCTTTAAACCAAACTGTGAAGTCTGTATTAACACCATTATAGTTCATGGTTTCACCCAGTCCTCTCTAGCAGTTGCAAGTTAGTTAAATATAATAAAAAGGAACACATGCTGACACACAAAATCTCTTGGGTCAAATACGCTCGAGCTAAAACTAATAGGGTGAATTCTTGGAAATGTAAATCACATTGTTTATAATTGATTAACATGTAAGCTGGGTAAGATGATGATTAACACCTTTACATGCAATTTAAAACCATAACACTATCAAAGGTCTTCAGCTAAAATTGGACAATCGCTTGATAAGATTTTTCCCCTCAAAGAAAAATCTATTTTTGCATCTGGACTCATGGAAAAAGGCTTGAAGGGATATACACTCACTTGCCACTTTATTAGGTACAGCTTGCTAGTACCGGGTTGGACCCCCTTTTGCCTTCAGAACTGCCTTAATTCTTCGTGGCATAGATTCAACAAGGTGTTGGAAACATTCCTCAGAGATTTTGGTCCATATTGACATGATAGCATCACGCAGTGAGTTGCTGCCATGTGATTGGCTGATTAGCAATTTGTGTTACCAAGCAATTGAACAGGTGTACCTAATAAAGTGGCCGGTGAGTGTATATTGGTAAATTATATTGGACCAAAAAACATGTTCAAACCATGAACATTTTACACCAAAATAAAGTAATATTTTAACTGAATAATAACTTATATTTATAATAATATTAGTAAATCTTGGAATTATGTGTCATACAGAATTGTATCAGGACCGGATGATTTTCATTACCGTTTCATTACCTTTTTCACATTATCTTAATGAGAATTACTAGATGTAAAAAAAAAAAAATTATAATATATATAATTTACCATTTTTACCTTATTCTGGGGTGAAATACAACATCCGAAATGTCTCTCAAAAAGCTTTTGTAGTTAAAAAATGAACAGATGAAGAACATTTATTGAACTTTCTTAAAATAACTTAGAACATTTGATTGAACAATATAAAAGTGACAACAATAATCAGCAAAACGCTGCACAATGCACAGTTTCTATTAAAATGTACATTTGTATAAAACACTGAGTTGAATTGGAGAATGAACAAACCATGCTTAGAACACAAAGTCATGTTCAGTCATGTCGATAGCCCAGGCAAACTTATCCCTTAGGGTTTTGTTGTAAATTTTATCCAGCTGCACCTCCATGTTCTTACACCTAGAAGCAGAAAATAAAGTCAACATTCTGATATGAAATACAACAAGACTTCCTGTGTAGCAACACTATGTATGAGTATGACATCATCACCAGGCCACGCTGATGCGTGGATCCAGGTAGTTGAGTTTGGAGGTGCTCAGGGCGATCTGTTTGTTCTCCTCTCGGTCTGTAGCCTGAACCTCCATCTTCAGCAGCTGTTCCTCACACCTCTGCACAGCTTTCTTCTTCTTCTCCACCACACTGAACACACATAAAATGCTTTTACATGTGAATATCATATTCATTTATAAAAGGATCCTAATAGCTGGAAGAGCAAATAAACGTCCCCTTTCAGAGGCCTGGAATGAGATACTGACATAAGCAGCTTGTTGTCTGAGCTCCCTTTGGCTTCTTTCTTGGCCTGCTTTAGCTCTTTCTTAGCCAAGTCCAGCTGCTCCTTCCTGCTGTCAATCTTAAAGAAGAGAAGAGAGAAAAACCAAACCTAATAAAACAGAATCATATTCAAATGCCTCTTTTATGATATTTGAAAATGTTTTTTTTGTTGTAAATGATTTTTTTTTCACTATTCAGTTTCATATCTCCAGTACCTTTGCTTGCAGGTTAGCCATGGACTGTTCGAAGGCCTTTGGCGGCGCCCGCTGATGGTTACATAGAATTGCAACCGCACGGTTTGCCCTGTTGTAAGAGAGCAACTTCTCTGCCACATTATCCTTCACTGTAGTAAGAATGACACATTTAACACACACACACACACACAGCGAGAGAGAAAGAGAGAAGTAAAAAGATTTGCTAAATAACAGATACATTTAAATGTGGAAACTGGCAGCCGTTACATTCCTCCTTCAGAGTAAACGTCACATCCATTTAAACAAAATAACTATTACTTTTCAAACAATTACATTTGATAAAGATGATTTATTTAACAAATCAAACTAAACTAAATAAACAAGTAACGAGTAAGCCAAAAATTCAGTGACCGACTCATAAAGACAGTTGCTTTGTTTCTGAATGAATCCGCTGTTTGAAAGAATCGGTTGAATGAATGACTCATTTATTAAGACAGTGACTTGCTGCCACCTACTGGCTGTTTTAGTTTAATATTTAGAGTATAATTAAAAAAATTCTCAATACGTCAATATTATCATTATTTATGCAATGTTGAAACAAAATATTTCTTTCTAAAGCTGCTTTTCTCTAATGTCTATTCAATGCTTTTCCTTCGTTTAACACAATGTCTTTAAATGATCTTTTAGGGGTTAATTTCTCAGCCAAAACTGCTGTGCAATTAATTAATTGGCACATGTAATTAATTCGATTAAAAGCTTATAATTAGAAGTACATATATACAAATACTTCCATTTAAACTATATTTTTTGCATTAAAATATTTTTTTCCCCACTTTATAGTAAAGAAAATTGTGCTTAATTGTAATAAAATAATAAAAAGGCTAAATACATTTTTTACTGTTATAAAACAATAATAAATATTCTTCATAAAATAAAGCAATAAGCCCCAAGAAGCCCTTAGCTGTTATAAATTCACTGTAAACCACAGCTTCACGGGGCTTATTGCTTTTATAAAACGGTTATTCCATATAGTACGGTTTCACAAAATAAAACAGAGCAAAGAAAGTGTAATGATATTAATAAAAACAGTATTCTTCCACCAAACAATGTAGTTCCTCAGAATCAGTTGTGGTTGCAACAAAGTGGTTGCCAAGCAACAGACAAAGGCAAATAAAGGTGTATGTTTGTAGAGTAATTTACAACAGCTTAGAACGTGGCTCAGCCAATCAGAATCAAGGACCGGAACTATCAATTTTATCAAATTTATTTTTTTTTCATTTTGACTGAGGTAAAACAATTACCGGTCACACTTTATTTCAAGGTCCAATTCTCGCTATTAACAAGCCATTAACTACGACTTTTGCCAAAATAAACTCGTAATTTGCTGCTTATTAATGGTTAGTAAGGTAGGCCCTAGTTGAGTTAAGTTTAGGTATTGGGTAGCATTAGGGATGTAGAATATGGTCACGCTGAATATATTTATAAGTACTAATAAACAGCAAATATGTTAATAATATGCATGCTAATAAGCAACTAGATAACAGTGAGAACTGGTCCCTATACTAAAGTTTTACCCAGTTACCTGCATATTCGCCTGCATAGTGAGGTTCATCATAATTAAAATTTTGTATGAAGGAAAAAAGCAAAAACATTGTTAAAATGGCTAGAAATTGATAATTACAGGGCCTCAAACAGGCTTCTCTGTAAATTTGTAAATTCCAAGCCAACATGAACGCCAATTACACACACACACACACCTGATGGGCGAGACCCTGCCACACACTGAGCTGATTTAATTAGAGCTTGTAGCGGACGCAGAAAACAGATTTCCTCTCAGTGGCAATCTGACACCTCCACCCCAGCATTACACACACATCACATGCACACACTGCAGCACTCGCTCTAGAGATACTCGGATAGTTACACTACTCACAAACAAACACAAGTCTCATTAGCGCAAACACACAATTCAGTAATTAATGAAAACACCAAAGCTAGAGGCACAAACAAACTAGAATGCGCCCATCAAACCGTGTCCTAACCAGGCATGATGCGATAAAAGCAATATCTTCCATGTTAATAAGGAGTTTTTGTCTTAATAAATTATGACCAATTCAAGCAAAGAGCAACAGGAAATTTTGTTAGACAGTTGTGTGTGTGTGTGTGTGCGCGTGTTTTTGTGACAAATGAGGACATAAATTTGTATAATGACAAGGGTATGACATAGGTATTACAAGGAGAAGGTGACTTTTCAGGACATTACCCCATGTCCCCACTTTTCAAAACGCATATAAATCACACAGAATGGAGTGATGTTTGTGTTCTGTACAGGCACTCTCGGACACGTAAATACGAGAGTGAGTTGCATATGTGTCGTTTGGAGGTTTTAGCAGTGGAGTTCAGTGAATATCATCCACTTAAAGCAATCACGGTACATCTACAGCTCTCCTAAATGTACATTAAATGATATATATATATATATATATATATATATATATATAAAACAATAATTTTTCAATATAGGGTTTTCCTGAAGCAACATAAAAGCACTTAAAGCACTGACTGAATCCAGATGTTTAAACTGTTCATAGCTACATTCTGTGGTTTCTGGTTTGGGCTCCATAGATCTATGATTAATGACAAAGGAACAAAACTTTGCAAACCAGAAATCATGTTATTATCTGATTAGCTTCTACAGGTGCATCTCAATAAATTAGAATGTCGTGGAAAAGTTCATTTATTTCAGTAATTCAACTCAAATTGTGAAACTCGTGTATTAAATAAATTCAATGCACACAGACTGAAGTAGTTTAAGTCTTTGGTTCTTTTAATTGTGATGATTTTGGCTCACATTTAACAAAAACCCACCAACTCACTATCTCAAACTTTTCCACAACATTCTAATTTATTGAGATGCACCTGTACTTATGCTTGCGGTGTAAAACTGAAGAACCACTGATGCAATATACACTTAAAGTCTGTGAAAAGTCCAAAACTTTGCAAACAGACAGCATGGTTGAAAAAAATAAACAAATAAATAAATATCACAAATTATTTTAAATACATGGTATATTATATAAAATCTGAAACCTTTACAGTTAAACATAAGAACTCTCCACAGCAATAGCGCTAGACTTTGCTGAGAAATTTATCTTTTAAACATTACCTTAAGTAGCCCTAAAATATCAGAA